GTATTTGGGATCAGGAAAACTTTGAAGAAACCAAATGCAATCAGGTTCATGAAAATGGCAGATTTGTAAGAACATCAGCTAATTCCCTAACAAATTGTCATAGTTGAAATATTTGTAACTTCATAATTTGAAATTTCCTGATTGTACTTGATTATGTTGTTGCCATGCAAATGATCACATTCTTCCAAAAGACTTATGTCATCTATCTGTTTGGAAATTTCAGTTTTAGTTTAAGATAAGGGTGTCATAGATATGTATGGAATTTTATTTTATTTTTGATTTTGGTATATGGTCATGAGTCCCCAGGGAATCACAGGGGTTTTAAATAAATGCAACATGCAATAAAATGCATGTTGAACAAAGATAATAAATAATTAGTATTCACCAAGTGGGACTCTTTGTTAAAAGGGAAACAGATGGTTGAAAACACAAAAGGCTATCATACAGACAAGTAGTGATCACAGATTGTTGAAAAATCCCACTCTTGAATAAAGAAGTTCGTTCTTTAAAGGAATCTGCCTGATTCATACTGAGTAGAACAAAGGATATAAGACAGAAAGTAGATGAGACCACTATGTGGAGTTGGTTAGAAGGTGTTATAAGCATAAGAAAGAAGGAGTTATATTTGTGGAAGCCACCTTGCAACATATAACAATGCCATAGTTACCCATAAAATGATTTGGGCTCAATTCGTGTACCAGCCTTTTCTTTTAGTACGCCACATATATCATGTGCTCAACAAAAGTGAACTAGGTTCTTACATGAAAAGACATTCCGAGTTCCTCTTTATCCCTAAGCCATGACTACAGGAGTGGGGGAGGGATGTTGGTAGTGAGAGCTAGTACATGGAATTTGCTTTCACTGTCACAATTGTCTCAGATTGATTATCAGGTAATATAATGAATGCACAACATTTGATGAAGGGCCAGATGAGAATGCAGGGAGAGAAATCAATCATTCAATAAACATTGACTAAATGTTTACTGTATGCCAGGCACCATGCTAAGCACTGGTGCCACAAAAAGACAAAAGACAGCCCCTGCCCTCAAAGAGCTTACAGCATAATGCAAGAGATGGCAAGCAAACAGATATATACAGAGCAAGGTACATACAGGATAAATAGGGAATAATTAACAGAGGGAAGTCACTGGATTTAAGAGGAGTTGGGAAAAGCTTGCTGTAGAAAGAGTCAGATGACTGTTGAATGCATAAAGCATAATGACTAAGCTCCAGTAAAATTTTGCAAACCCAATTTGTATTATTAGCTGGTTTATTTGTGATTGGTGCAATTGTAAAGCGTAGCTGAATAGCATATTTACTCTCAGATATAAAGAAATTCAAATTAGATGGAATAGATGGACAATGGACAATCTGTAGTCCTGGGTAGACTAATCAGATCCTGCTTGGGCCTTACTATATGTTATTCCATAAATAAAAGGAGATCAAAATGATTGTGACTGTGCCATAGAAGTACTTGCGTCCTTGTTGAATCTTTTAAAAATTTGTACAAGTTGTAGTTATGTAAATTTCCTGAGCATGAGCTGTATCTCTGTCACTTGACCTAACTAAGCCAGATAACTAAGCCATGTAGTAATCTAAATATAAATCTGGATGACATCCTTATTTTCTTCTTCCCTTATGATATATTGTTTATTCTGTACCTAATCTACCACATTTGTCCAGTTTTCTCCTACTGTTAAGCAATTTATCCAGAAATGTGCTTCTTAAAATGAACGTCTGGAATCTATCGTATGATTTTATGTGTTGTGCAAAGCAATAATGACAATATGGAATCCCTTTGCAGTGAATCTCTCATGTCTCCTGCCAGTCATCTGTACATAGCTTGATTTGAGAACTGTGGAAGATAACTTGAAATGTGAAAGTATTCCTTCAGCTCTTTGTGTCCTCAATTTCTACCATGTTCCCCTCTTTTGGAATTCTTTATCACTTACTCTCATTCAAATTTTAATATATCACCTTGCTCAGGTGATGTATCATCATCCATTAAAATATTTATTCCCTCAGAATTATTTATTAGTTCTTTGGGAACTGCCAGTTGATAAACCAGTGTGCAGAGAAGAGCAAATAGGATGATGAGAGGAATAGGAGTCATGTCATGAAAGACTGTTGATAGAATTATGGATGTTTAACAAAGGAAAGAGAACACTTAGCTGTTTTCAGGTATTTGAAAGACTACAAAATAGGAGAAAGATTTGACTTGGGTCTGCTCCCAAAGTAAGCGTGATATGTGCTGGCTAGAATGCTAGACCTGCAGTGCTTTGTTAAAATTCCACCTTTGACCTTTGGCCATAGGCAGACCTCTACATACCTGATTCCTCTCATGTAAGATGGAGCTAATTGTACAGGCGGTATCTAATTTAAATGACTGTTGTGAAGCTTAAATGAGATGATTGATGTAAAGTGGTTTTCAAAATTTAAAATACTATAGGCACACACAAACACACATATAAATGTCCCTCTCTCCATGCATGTGTATATGCATATACATACACGTACATATGCATATACAACACACACATGTATTGTATTTCTAGAGATCAGAACCAAGAACAAGAAGTGAAAGTTGTGTATAAGCTGATGATTTCAGCACTCTCCAAAGAAAGTTTTCTAGCAAATAGAAATCTTCAAAATCAAGGTACTGCCTCAGGAGGCAGTGGATGTCTTATCACTGAATTTCTTTAGGTTTAGCCTAGTTCATTTGTTGAGGGAGGTTGTAGAAAGAATTCCTTTTAAGTGAGACTTGACTAGGTAGGTCCCTTTCAAGGGATAGGTCCCAGGTTCATTCTACCCCCAAAATGCTGATTCCATAACCTATGTCTGAAATAGAATGAATGGGATCAAAGACAGACAAGTTTTGTGAGTGGAAAAGAAGTCTCAGGTTGGGTGCTGAAACATAGCACAGTCCTGGGCAAGGTGCCATGGTGGGAAACCCTGGGCATCAGGATGTGGATGGGGTTTGGAGGGGAAATAGGGAGGTTTTGATTAAGTAAACCAGGCTGACCCCAAACCATATAATTCTGATTGTGCAATTTTCTCTACTCTTCAGGCAATTTGGGGTTTCATGGTTTGAGGCCCTGCTATAAGTACGGGAAATTGGAAAAAGCAACAAGAATATTTTGTATACGAAGTTACATAATAGCACAGAAACAAAATGACTCTCTACTTAAACATTTATTTTTGCCTTTTCACAGTCTCTGCTATTAAAAAAACTAAATAATTGACTCACCATAGTTAACAAACCATAATAATCATGTTGTATAATGTATATTTCTGAGAAAAGAATGAGTCCAGGAATACAGGAAATGCAATCAATGTTGAAATCAAGTTTAAAAAAAAACTTCTGAAAAGAAATAACTGTGTTGTAAGAGTTTTCTTATGATTTGCTTCTCAAAAATAATTATTCTTTGTTGATACTGAAAGCTGCTTGTATTTTTTAAACTTTAGGACACTATTGGAATTGAAATATCTATTAGTAATCCTAAACAAAGAGAGCTCCATTTAGATGTGATATTAACAGACATTTCCCTCAGTGGAGAGACCCCACTTACTCTGGAACCAAATGAAAAAATAACCTATACAGTCAAATATTCTCCGATGATTATAGGCTGTGCAAATGAAAGGTATGTTTTGGAAAGCCTAATAAATATCATATGTTTGCTATACTGGAACTAGCTTCTTTGACCCTGGCTATTTCTTTGCATGACTTAATCTTCAAGAGCATTCTCTTTTATCTTGTAGAATTTTTTTAATTGACAGAATTTTTTAATGTGGCATTTTGATATTGCCATGTGCTTTCTTCAATCTAATACATTTTATTTCTTTACAAACTATGTTAGACAATTTGTAGTTTTCATGTGCATATCCCATGTCATTAAATGTTGTGGTCAGAACCTTAAGTGAAAAAAAAATATTTGACCCATAACAGGTGCAAACAAGTTTCACTTCCATTTATGGAAATCCTTTTGACTTTGTTTATTAACTAGAAATTCTGGACAGAAAATCTGTATAGGAAGTTCCCAATGTGCAAATTTGCTGTATGGAGACAGGCATCCCATCTATGATATACAGTGCATAGCACAATAAGAGTTAATAGCCTTTATCCAGAGACACCAACAGAATGGGTTAGAGGTAGGATTTGAATCTAGGTGTTCCTCATTCCAGTTGGTGAAAGTGTCAAACTTGTTCATTTAAAAAGCAGTTTAAAAAGTCTTTATATTAATTTTTTAAAACCAAAATCTTCTGTTGTCACTGTGTGCTAGGGTATGTTGATGCTTTTATCAAAATTGCTTTTTTTGATCAAGTAATAATATTTTCAGTGCAAAATATGATGTTCATAATTGGAAGCATGAAACTAAGACTATGATTTGTTATGGATGTGTGATTTTATCAAATATAATTTACTCATGCATATTATATTTGAGAAGATTTTCTTGTTTGTTTTTCCTATTGGCAATAAGCCACTTTACCTGTGATATTCCATTTGGATTACAATATATCTGTGGAATGGCTAACACAAGTACTAAAATAAATGGTTACTAAAAATGGTTTTGGAAAATATATAGTAACTAAATTGATAATTATATTTCACATTTTTAGTTTAAACTACTGAAACTCTTTTAAATTATAGAATTCTCAAGTGGCATTCACATTGAGATTCAATGTATTTGAAGCTGAGTTTCAGACTAAATGCTGCTAATTATTTTGAACTTTTGTTTTGCTTCCCTAATAGTTATGAACACAGTAGTCTTGCTGATAAAATTTTAAATATTTTTCTTTCTAGTGTTGTTTTCCAGCCTCGAGCAGGTATAGAGTTCTGGTATTTACTGAAATTAACTGCTGAAAGGCCAAGACCCACTACAATGCCAGAAATACAATGTGACCTTGGAAAGTAAGTTGGATGTCACTGGGCTAATTATTTTCTGCTATTAATAAATATATATGATGTGCTTATGTATTTTACATGAGGGATAATTATTATTATGATTTGTTTTTAGAGAAATGTGTAATTTTTATGAACCACTAAGGAAAAACTGTCTAATTTATACTTTTCTATATAGGGTCACTGGGGACAAACAACAAACTTTTGGTCACTCCATCCCTTTCAGCATTTCATAATATTTATGGAGTAGTTGATCCCGCTGTTTTACAGAATCTTTCTTATTTCTATTCTAGAGTAATCATTCAAGGGTTTAAAAATGCTAATAAAAGAAGTGAGAATTATTTGCCCCACTGGGGCTCTGAGTCAGCCTTTAATTTCCACACGTGTTTGTTGGTGAACCAATTCAACAGAACACTCTCCTCTTTTCTCAAATCCCTTGCCTCCTTATCCTGTTGCTGGTCTTGCCCTGCTAAGCCTCAACTCTGGATTATTCTCACCATTTGAAGTAAGACAATGTGGCATAGGGGCAAGATCTCTGGATTTGGAGCCATGAAGACTGGGTTAATAGCTCACATAATTTATGACTTGACTTGGTCAAGTCATTTAACCTCTCTGGGACTTACTTTCCAAAATTGTAAAATTAGGGAGATGAACTCCTAAGTTTTCTTTTAGCTCTTAATCAGTGATCCTATGAACTCAAGGTTAGCTCCATGCCATGATGAGACATCAGTCATAGTTTAGGTTGGTCATAATAATTAATACAAAGAGGGATCTCTTAAGAGATGGGTCATTGGGAAGTGGTAGTAACATTTAAAAAAATTTTAAAATTATAATAAACAATAAAATTAAAGATAATACAATATATGTATATAAAACAGCAATTTGGCATCAATTTAATAACCTTAAATCTTACATTTAAATAATTATAGAGGTTGGGTGGAGCCAAGATGGCAGAGTAAAAGCAGTGACTTGCTTGAGATCTCCCCCAAACTCCCCCAAACACCTGTAAAAATGGCTCTAAACAGATTCTAAAGCAGCAGAACCCACAAAAAGACAAAGTGAAACAAATTTCCATCCCAAGACAGCCGGGATGGTTGATCACAAAGGAATATCATGTCAGACAGGGAGACTAGTGCAGTTTGACTTGAGCAAGCAGGCAAAACAGGCCTCAGTGAACCTAGAGCAGGACTCAGAGGACTGAATCACAGGCAGCTGTGGTGGTTTCCAGACTTCTCACCCCATGAACACCAAAGACACCTTAGAAGGTCAGTGGGAAAGGTCTGGGACTGCAGTGAGAGAGACAAACTTGGTCCCAGCCCCAGTACCCAAGTGTGGCCCCAGGGTGGCAGCTGCCTCCAGAGTTTCTGGCCCACAGACTTAGGGGGAATCAAGTGGTTGATCAGAGGGGGATTGCAGAGATCTCTTTGCTAGTGCTGAGGAAGGAATTTCTTGCTTTGCCCATGCTTGGATCTGGGTCACAGTTCTGGGTGGCAGTCCTGGGGCAAGGAGGAGCACTGGTGTGGTGGAGATTGTAGTGCTGGTGGAGATGGAATCCTCCTCACAGTTCCAAGGCAGAAAAGACTGCTTGTGGTCACTCATAGACCAGAGCACAGGCCAGGAAAGGAGTAAACACCTCACCCTTGATCATACCACCTTGGAAGAAGTGAAAAGTTACAGGTCCCTAGAAGTATCTCTGAAAACAGCTGCACAAAACCCCCAAAGCTTGGGACAGTACATTCTTCACATTGGAAGCAGACCTCTACCTTAACAAAGAGTTTATAACTCAAGTAATTGGCTGGGATCATGACCAAGCCTTGAAAAAAAAAGGTCAGACCATAGAATCTTTCTTTGGTAACAAAGAAGATCAAAACATACAACCAGAAGAAGAAAACAAAGTCAAAGCTCCTACATCCAAAGCCTCCAAGAAAAGTATGAATCAGTCCTAGGCCATGGAAGAGCTCAAAAAGGATTTTGAGAAGCAAGTAAGAGAAGTAGAGGAAAAACTGGGAAGAGAAATGAGAGTGATGCAAGAAAGTCATGAAAAAAAGTAAACGGCTAGCTAAAAGGAGACTCAAAAAAAATACTGCAGAATGTAACACCTTAAAAATAGCCTAACCCAATTGGCAAAAGAGGTCCAAAAAGCCAATCAGGAGAAGAATGCCTTGAAATAGCAAAATTAGCCAAATAGAAAAGGAAGTCCAAAAGCTTACTGAAGAAAATACTTCCTTAAAAGTTAAGAGTAGAGCAAGTGGAAGCTAGTGACTTTATGAGAAATCAAGACACTGTAAAACAAATCCAAAAGAATGAAAAAATAGAAAACAATGTGAAATATCTCATTGGAAGAACAACTAAACTGTAAAATAGATCCAGGAGAGATCATTTAAAAATTATTGGACTGTCTGAAAGCTATGATCAAAAAAAAAGCCTAGACATCATCTTTCAAAAAATTATCAAGGAAAACTGCCCTGATATTTTAGAACTAGAGGGCAAAATAGAAATTGAAAGAATCCACAGATCACCTCCTGAAAGAGATCCCCAAAAGAAAACTCCTAGGAATATTGTAGCCAAATTCCAGAATTCCCAGATCAAGGAGAAAATATTGTAAGCAGCCAGAAAGAAACAATTGAAGTATTGTGGACACACAATCAGGATAGCACAAGATTTAGCAGCTTCCTCATTAAGGCACCACGGAGCATGGAATGTAATATTCTAGAGGGCAAAGGAGATAGGATTACAACCAAGAATCACCTACCCAGCAAAACTGAGTATAATCCTTTAGGGGGAAAAATGGACATTAAGTGAAATAGAGGACTTTCAAGCATTCTTGATGAAAAGACTAGAGCTGAATAGAAAATTTGACTTTCAAATACAAGAATCAAGTGAAACAGGAAAGAGAAACTATAAGAGACTTATTAAGGTTGAACTGTTTATATTCCTGCATTGAAAGATAACATTTATAACACATGAGACCTTTGTCAGTATTAGGGTAGTTGGAGGGAAAAATTATTTGTATGTATATAGATGGGTAGATAGATAGATAGATAGATAGATAGATAGATAGATAGATAGATAGAGGGCACAGGGTGAATTGAAGATGAATGGGTAATATCTGGAGAATAAAATTAAGGGGTGAGAGAGGATTATACTGCGAGAAGGAGAAAGGGAAAGGTAGAATGGGGTAAATTATCTCACATAAAACAGAAGAAAAGACTTTTAGAAAGAAAAGACAAGAAAAGGCTTTTACAGAGGAAGGGAAGTGGGGGAAAGTGAGAGGGAATGAGTGAATCTTATTCTCATAGGATTTGCCTTAAGGAGGGAATAACACATACTCAGTTGGGTATGTAAATTTGTCTTACCTTACAGGAAAATGGAGGAGGAGAAGGGGACAAGAGAGCAGGGGGATGATAGAGGGGAAAGCAGATTGGGGTAATCAAAAACGAAAACCTCTAAGGAAGGACAGGGTCAAAAGAGAGAATAGAATAAATGAGGGGTGGGATAGGATGAACGGAAATATAGTTAGCTTTTCACAACATGACTACTGTAGAAGTGTTTTGCGTAACTACACATGTATAACCTGTTTTGAGTTGCTTGCCTTTTCAATGAGGGTGGGTGGGGAGGGAGGAAAGGAGAAAATTTGGAACCCTAAGTTTTAAAAACACATGTTAAAAAAATTGTGTTCACATGCAACTGGAAAATAAATACAAAAAATGGGGTATAGAAATCTATGCTTCCCTATAGGAAAATAGAAGGGGAAGGGGATAAGAGAAGGGGGAGAGAGATAGAAGAGAGGGCAGATTAGGGGAAGGGGTTTGCAGAATGCAGGCCATCTTGGGGTGGGGGGAGGGGCAAGATGTGGAGAAAATTTGGAACTCAAAATCTTGTGGAGGTGAATGTTGAAAACTAAAACTAAATAAATTTTAAAAATTATAGAAAAATATTAAGTGAAGGGAAATATTATCCAACACATAATTTTAGCATCAATGTTCAGCTAAAAAATGTTTTTCCATTATTCCTCCTATTTTGGAAAAGAAAAAGGAATAAAATCACTCGAATGAAATTTATACTATTTTGGTTTCTATAATAAAACCATAAAGTCACTTTGAGGTAATATTCCATAAAAACATAAAATAGTTATTGTGTTTAGGGTCACATAAATTTTTGTAATATTATTTAATCACTTGTCTTTAGCTGAGATTCCTCATGACAAGAACAACTTAGGTGAAAGAAAGTTTAGATTGCTTATCTTCATACTTATTCATTTTGCATTTTTGTATTTTTGTTTTGATTAAGCAGAACACCTTCCAATTATGTTGTTACTCAGGTGGTACAGGAAGACCTGAGTTCAGATTTAGCTTCATAAACTTACTAGTTTTGTGACCCCGAGCAAGTGTCTTAATCTTAATGGAATATCTCATTTTCCTCATCTATAAAATGGGGATAATAATAGCACCTACCTCCCAGAATTCTTGTGAGTATCAAATGAGATAATAAATATAAAATCCTTAGCACAGTGCCTGGCACATAGCAGGAACTATGTAAATGTTAACTATTATTACTATTATCATATAAATGAATTTTGTGTTTGGACTAAAAATATTATTGTACTATTAATTTCTTGATGAATTGATTTGCCAAGTGTTAAAATACATTTTGAAAAAGTTTAAATAATTTTGAAAAATACGGTATGATTATTTGAGAAACGAGGCAATATGTTATTTTATATAGTCGACCAATGCCATGATGAAGGCCAATAGAATAACTGAATGTTACAGGATAGAATATCTGACTTCTCATTCTGAGCTTTCCGAAGGAGACACAATTTTTTTTTTTACAGATTTTTAATAATTTCTATAATAAATATTTATAGATGACTCTGTCTACAATTCATAGCCAGCAGTTCTCTCTGACACAAGGGCTCCTGATTCCTAAAGTAGTTGTCATCCTTGGGTAACTGTCTTTACATCTGAAAGTACTCCCTCTGTGATTGGACACTACCACTCTGGCATTCA